TCCACAAATTAAAGTATACACCATAAACTTTCTTGAAAACTAACAAACTATGTTCTTAGTCATCAAACAATTGCAATTCATACATACTCAACTATCATATAGTCTTTCACAATTGCTAACACTCACGTGATATTTATCGGTTCAAAGTTTCAATCGGACACAGAGAAAGATAGGGGCTCATGATTTCGCCTCCCAACCTTTTACCTCAAGGGTAATGTCAACAATAATAATTTATGATAACCTACATCCGAGTGGATATATATATATATATATATATATATATATAGGGAAAATACATCCTACCACTAGGTGGTAGTTACCTTTGCTCCCGTCACCGTCAGATCTAGTCTCGAAGTGGGTATTGATCAACGAGTTTGGATTGCAAGCTAGTTGGTTGTTTTTCCTTTTTGAAATTAGATTTACTAGTCGTCCCTATTTTTGTGGCCATCGGATGCCGATGTATAACTACCTCCGATATATAGAGCCCTTCTCATAGTCAACACCATGTTCGACAGGAGATGAGGAGACGTAGGTATTAATGTTAATTCTTGTTGTTTTTCATCCTATCCCACACGTACGCATGCATGATTGATCAACCACTGATATGATCTCTCGTATTGTAGGTTTGAGCCTCCATTATGTTGCTTCTACTTGATCGATTCTCCGGCGACATGGACAAAGTACGTGGTCGTCGGCGGCCTAGATTCGAGTTGCCAACACGACGCGACAGGGGCGGGCCCAGGAATTGAGGATTGTGTATTCAAAATTTAAAAACTTTTTTTTGGAAGCCTATAGCCTTTCTTTTGGTGCGTATAACCGATTGTAGCAGCATATTGTACTAGTTCTATAGAACATATTGCATAATATATTATATTAATAAAAACTGATTATGACTTAGTATTGTTCAACACATGGTGACAAAATGTAAGATATATAGAGGATAGAAAATAGCAAATGATAAGAAACCTTATAAATTACTCCCTCCGTCCGGAAATACTTGTTGGAGAAATGAATGTATTTAGATGTATTTTAGTTTTAGATACATCTATTTTTATTCATTTTCACGACAAGTAATTCCGGACGGAGGGAGTACAAGATAACTTTGTGATCCTTAATGCTTTGAAAACGATTTTTGATGTCATCATCCCTAACTTGCAAGAAGAATTGCCTTTGAATGAATGTGAACAAGATATCATTCAAGTATTTTTGCCCCATCATTCAAGAAAGCTCTCATATCAGTAGTATCGGTACTCTTCCTCTGCATGGTTTACACCTGAAAAGTAAAATTGCTCAAGTTTTAGAGTACTAATAGTTACACATAATGCTCACTGTAATAAATTCAAAATTTATAAACATTGTCACATTACAAATTCAAATGGAAAATTCCAAATTCACATGTCTAAACAATTCATAATTGAATGCAAACAAGTCCCTGGTTTCTCTATAATTAAATAGACTTACTTAAACTTGTAAGTCTGTACTGCAGCCTGCTGGAAAGCGAGAAGAAAATTGTGCTCCTGCCTGCACCTCGAAAACATGTTTTAGAGCCTATGCGCCCGGGTACTCCTTATCCAACCATTCATTCCTGCATCACGATTCGTGCAAATAATTTTCTCTTTTTTGTTTCTCTCATATAGAACATGTATTTGTACTTCAACTTTGCAGCACAACAAAACTTTCTATGTAAAATGTGGGATAAAACTTACAGATTTTTTGGTCCAACATAAATATACAAAATGAGATTTGTTTGATTAAAAAATCTTATTTTTCATATTTATGTCGGACAAAAAAATCTGAAAGTTTTATCTCACATTCTAGTTACAAAGTTATGTTGTACTGCAAAGTTTGAAGTTCAAGACAAGTTTTATATGAGAGGAACAAAAAAGAGAAAATTCCATGTAATAAGGTAGTTGTGTAGCACAGATCTCAAAGCAACATTGGAGTGCTAGGATAGTGAGGTCCGAGTGCATAAGCTCACAAAATCTGCATTCGCCTGCACCTTGCAGTGATACAGGAATTCAGAAATCGAATTAACATGACTGTACTTCTCCTGCCTGCACCTTGCAGTGATACAGGAATTCAGAAATCGAATTAACATGACTGTACTTCATCTAAGAAATCAGCATGACTGCATGAGAGGAGCTCCCAATTTCAGAAATCAAACGATCAATACGTCTAATTAGCAATTATACCTTCAGTAGTTGAATCTGTGAGTTGTACGTGGTTGTGAAACTGAATCGATGTGGCCTGCTGCCGCAGCCGACTACAAAGATCAGAACCAAAAGGGGGCAGGGAGCTAGACAGCGAGGGATGGATTCTTGTCGCCGTCGGCGCCGCCGTGCGCACGCGCGATCGTCGATCAGCCGACGGCAACAACCCAGCCGGCCTGGCTGCTCGCGTGCGATCTGCGACTGCGAAGAGAACTAAGGAACAACCAAACAGCGGAACAATCAATCGATTCGATCGATGGACTTTATTTTTTGGGCAAGCGGAACAATCGATCGTCTCCGCGTTTAATCGATTCAATCGATGGACTTTATTTTTTGGGCAATGATGGACGGCGTGTGCGACTGTGCGTGCGTTGTGGTACAGCCATTTGGGCCAAGTCCTGGTTGTCTAGTGGGCCAAGCCGTGGTGAGCCTCTGTTTTGGGGCTTAAAGGCTGGACTAGCATGTTTTGGTGTATCAGTTTCGTTTTTCTTTATAGATACACAGTATATAGACTATATATATCTAGTTTTTTGCAAAAAATAATGGGTATTCAACTGAATACCCTTGAATTGAGGTGGGCCCGCCCATGCGACGCGATGACGACATTCTACTCCAAGCTCCCTGTCCATGGCATATCGTTCAGATATTTTGTAGGAGCTATATCTCTAGATTGTGCTCTGCAGCATTGGCCGGCCGTGCGTCGTCTGCATACTTGCGTATATATATTTCGTACTACCGTCACTCCTTTTTTTAGGATACTACCGCTCCGTTTACATACTACTACATTACATGCTGCTACAAAAAACTACTTTTTACGTGATCATTCCACTGATACTAATTAGATTGGGCATGGTCGTGGCTCCATGATTCATGGAACAAAATATACTCTATACTCTGAAAATCCATTATCTAATTAAATTGTATACTGGGTTCTCTTTATTGGAAAAATTATATATACTTCACACTAAATACTCCTTATTCAGCTTTAGAGAAACTACATAGTACATACTACTACATACTCAGTTCCTAAAAAACATACTACATACTCATTTTCTACAAACTATATACTCATACTCTTTTTATTTATTTGAGAGGATATACTCCATACTATGCATACTACATACTCGGTTCCTTAAAAAAATGCCACATACTCATTTTGTATAAACTATATACTCATACTCTTTTTTTATTTGAGAGGATATACACAATACTCTACATAGTGTATACTTGGTTCCTCAACAAAAAAAACATACTTTTTTGCGAATAAAAAAAAACCTACTACATACTCATTTTCTATAAACTATATACTCATACTCTTTTTTTATTTGAGAAGATATACTCCATACTCTACATACTAAATATTCGGTTCCTCAAAAGAAAAAACTACATAGTCATTCTTTATAAACTACTCCATACTCTTATTTTATTTGAGAGGATATACTCCATACTCTTATTTTATCTGAGAGGATATACTCCATACTCTGCATGCCTTTTATAGGAATGTCCCTACTCTGCATGCTCGATGTGCATGAATAATGCGTACTTGATGTATAAGCTAGGAACTTATTATCCATCCAACCGGCTGGGTGATTAGGCGAAAGATTATAAGGTTGTTGACGGGAGGTGCGCCACTACCTGACTAATTAATTATTATTTTTAGGATAAGTACCTTCCCACCTAAAAAGTAGGGATTGCTTTCTCCAACTTCAAATTACTTACGACCTTGTTCGGTTGTAGCAGAATTAATCCTCTAGTCGATTTAATCCTCTAGAGGATTGGGTGATCCCCGCTTGACACCAAAACCACTTGGGGACCAAATCCCTGCCAGTATGCAATCCACGCCACTCTCATGCATTCGGTTAGTCCCCAAGGGCACTGGACCACAGGGACAACAGTATTGACATAGATGAAGTGGTACATATAGATAACAACAATTCTCATGCAGTAATGACACAGATGCAGACTGAAGTGACAATAACACTAACAGTTTAAAACACTTATTATCCCAACAATAACAACAATTCTAAGATTTGAATAGGGCACAAATACTAACAAAAATAATAGCAATTTGGAGCATACATAATATATAATATGTTGAATAGACCACAAGAGCTTAATTATCAGTTCCTCCCAAATTCTTCCACGCTACAGTCAGTCGTTTCAGAAATAGTGTTTAGTTCCTCTACAAATATCACATGGACAAAACCCAGCGAATAGATATGAAGCCTTCCACTAAAGAGCACACACAAATAGATCCAAGTCACGGCACCTTCGCTCTTCTTCTGGAGCATTCTTATGTAGAACTTCTACTTTTTGAAACCATTCAAACCCAAAATTAGTTTGAGAGTGAAATACTTGGTAGTTTTATTTCCAGGAATGGAAACAATGAGAAAAACATACATAAACAGTAGGTAAATCAATCTCTATCCTCTGATCTATGTTAAAAGCATCCCTTTTATTTTCTAGGGACAAGGCATCATAGCAGTTTAGAAATAGACAATTACTACAACCACAAGAAAATCAGCCTAGCCTAGCTACAACACAAGCACTTGTCAACCTGTGTCGATACATCAAGCAATCATTTGAAAAAAGGTTGTATTATTCAAGCAAAGTATTCCTATAACCAGTCAGTCTAATAGTTTGCAAAAGAACTTCATAAATATATTTAAAACAACTATCCATTTCAGAAGAAAATAATGTCTTTACAGCAGCAGCAGCAACAACAACATGGACTAAATGGCTAGCAAGGAGTTTAGTAACATGCACTAATTGAAAAGAGGAGTACCTGAGTTATTCCATTTCAGCTCTCAGCCACATAAGAGCAGTCTCCGGTCTGGCACTCATGAAAATCTCTCGGTTCTCGGGGATCTTGAAGACTCGGAAAGCCTTGACTTCTTCTTCAAGTGTGATCTCCATTGTTTTTAGCAGATCAATGCAGTTTTTGATAGAGTACTCATCCACGACCCTTGGCTTATTCCTCTCATCGTCCACCTGTTTCGTCCTTATTTCCAAGTACTTCTCCATCATTGCAGCCACATCACCATTCGCCCCCTCCTTCTCTTTGGTTCTTTCTCTTCTCCATTTCTTGAGGGTGCAGTAGCCAAATTTGGTTGAGTTTGCTCGGGCTCCACAACAATGTTTTCTTGCACGTAAACCTCCTCAACATCTTCATCGATCTGCACCCTTTCTCCTCCAAGATTCTCACCATCAGCTGATGTTTCTCCTTGATTCTTGCCAGCTCCTCCAAGATTCTCGAGATCTGATTGGGTTGAGCAATGTGATGACTCGATAGAGGTGAAGTTATATGTCCCTTCTGCAGTTTGGCCTACAAGTTAAAGTGACAATCAAATATAAGATTTCAAACTAGAAGAGTAAACAAACATAAAACAATGACATGAGTATATGAATGAAGTTGATAACTAACCATCATGCAATTCTCCCAAAGCTTGAAAAAGAGGGAAGCCTTTTGTCTTGAACTTTCCAGCTTTAGGGTGTGACTACATAGTTGACAAGAAAATGATATTAGAGCATGCAACAAGTAATGAAACTTTTAGGGAATAACAATGACATTCTTACTATGATGATGTTTTTCCAAAGTGGTGGATCCGCTAGAATCCTGCACTGCCGGTCGTCCCATGAAACGCCGCTTTGCTTCCTTATCTCTTTGATCATCTTGTATTCTCTTTTCAACTCTTTTTCCTTTTCTTGGATTTTCTTCTTCTCGTACCTAGCATAAGGATTCTTTTGGTGGAATTTCTTCACTATCGTATTCCATGCTTCTGAGCTCCATCCATTTTGACCCTTATGTTCAGGTGTATCATGCTCACGAAGCAAGTCCACAAGATCTTTCTCAAGGCTTGCATTCCACTGTGCTCTATCTTCTGCATTTCCACATTGTATGTTAATGTACCTTTTTCTATCTTAACTATTTTGGTTTTAAGCAAATAATGTCCCGACAAGAGAAATAAAGTCACGGCTAGTTTATTACCTTTGGGAGACCCTCTCCTCCTCTTTGTCACGCTGCTTGTAGGAGGTGATGCTCTATCCCTTTCGACAACTTTTTTGAGGAGGCTCAACCTTGGTGACCCTCGAGCAGTCATCATAGTGACTTCTGAACAATATTCATGACATGAACAACAGAAAAAAAAACATAAACTTCTACACTATACTTATTACTACTACACTACAAATGACAAGTTATGCATGTCGATAATCAGCCCACATTTGATGAGCAATGGCATCTCTAAGGTTGTCGCCTTCATGGTTGATTTGATGATTTTGAGGAATATCACCGTCAGGAAGATCAAAAAAATTCATGACAGGTATATTGTTTGGTTGGTTATCTAACCAACGCTCATCTCCTTTTTCAGATCGGATGATGTTATGTAAGATTGCCGCCGCTGCTGGTAGCTTGACTTGGTTCTCTATTCGATGATGCGTGCCCACTTTTAGGATTGGGAACTGCTTCTTCAAGATTCCTAATCCCCGTTCGACGTGATTTCGTAACACGGCATGCCGGAGATTGAATAGCTCCCTGTGATTTTGGGGTCGACGGCGACCGTGTGCAAACTCCTTCAGATGGTACCGAACACCACGATACGGTGCCAAGAAGTAAGGTGTGTTGGCATAACCACCATCAACCAGATAAAACTTGCCCGGAGGTACATGAAACCCACTATTAAGTGCTGACCAGAGAACTTTAGCATCGGTAGAAGATCCCTCCCAGCCACAAGAAATGAAGGTGAAGTTCAGGTCGAAGTCGCACACGACCATAACATTATGGCTTAGGGTCCCTTTCCTATTTCTGAATGGTGCGGCTTTTTCTCCTGAAATTGTTATGGGAACATGTGTCCCATCAATTGCCCCAATGCAGTTCTGCAATGAAATACTATAACTTAGCACCTATAACATGAAGAGTAAGTTATCGATGTGGATCAAAGTTGGCGAAGCAAAAACCTGAAAATAAGGAAAGAATCTCGTGTCCGACTGAATCTTTGGATGCACTTGACTGGGATTTGGAGGCTTCAAAAAAATGCTTGGAGAGAATAGGGATGATGTCAAAGAAATTCTTCATTTGCCAATGGAAAGTATCCCCGCTGTGACCAAACCGAACTTGAAGGTCTTCAAATGAAGAATTATGGGATAACATCCATAGAAATGATGCCAGTTTCTCTTCGACTTTAATTCTGGTATCTTTCACCAACTTCTCCCTTCGAAGATAATTAGCCAAAGATTTGAAGATACGCGGCTCCATCCTAAATGCTACCCGACAGTTTTTGATGTGCCCTTCGAGTAACTCCTTAACAAACATCTTGCCTGTTAGCGATGATGTATGGCGCGGAATCCTCCGCTCCCTAAGAGCAACTCCATCGGTCTCTATCAAATGTAGTGCAGGGAAAACAAATAACATCATTTCGTCATGCTCCTCCTCCCCCTTCCTAACACGATCCCTCATTTCAGGATCCATTCCAAGTCTAAAGAAGAAAAATGTGGCTAGTTATTACTACTACACCAAAACAGTAAGAGTGCAAGTTGTACAAACAAACAGTTTACCAAAAAAAACAACTACAGTAAGAGCTAAAATTCTTCAACAACTACAATGTCTAGTAATGTAAGATATTAACATAGCTCTCAGCTTACCAAAAAACACTTTGTAACACAGATCTATCGACCAAGCAATAATAACCAACAATACATGAATAAGGAGAATATTAAAACAAGAGGATTAATCTACCTTGTCCTTCACGATGCTGCCCAATTCAGGGTCTTGCTGTAGCTGTGAGGCGGCGAAGCTAGCTTATATCTGGCATCATCAAAATATCTGGCATTGGAACATCATCTAACAAAAAGGACAACACTAGAAAAAAGGACAACTGCAATGTGTACCAATGAAGAACAGATGATGATCACCCACCATGAAGAGAACAATTATATAATCTACCAATGATCATACCCGAAGTATCTTTTGTTCGGACATAAAAAATCTTTGGAAGTATGTGCTCTGCTGCTAACAGAGATTAGGTTCACATACTACATTTTGGGACGAACATCATATTGTACTATCAGCAGCCAGCAACAAAAACAACATGCATTGTTGTTCCTCCAGATTAGATAGTCCTTCTTTATACCAAGAGATAGACTAACAATTATACTACTACTACAATAATTATGTCGAAAAAAATAAAACAAATCCAAATTACTAACACCAAATCGTACTGCTGACTCCATTTACTAACACAAAATTGTACTGCTGACTCTAGTACAAATTACTAACAACGGGAAGACAGATCTTGACGACCACATTCGGGAAGACAAATCATGAAATAACAATTGATGCTAGTTCCTAGGAAACCCCAAGAAAAGTCACGACCTTGACGACCACATTCGGGAAGACAGATCAATATTTGTCTAGGTTTTCATGGAGGGGGCAAATCAGTGCTGCTAGAGAGAAAGGCGGTGGGAGGGAGGGGGGGAGGAGGGAGAGAGAGAACTAACCAGAGATCTCCTCGCCTGCAGCAACCACGTCTCCGGAGCTAGGGTTCCGGCCGCAGGCCCGCGGCAAGGGGGCGGCGGGGGAGATGGGACAATCAGAGGCTAGGGTTCCGGCGGGCTTTGTGGCAGGTCGTCGAAGCAGGAGGGCACCCTCCTCCTCCGGGTAGGTTGCGCCGCCGCCGTCCACTCGTCCTCGCCGCCTCCTTGCTGCCGCTTCTGTCGCTCGGGAGAGATGAGACGAGCGCCTCACTCGGGGATTCCTTCCACGGGGTGCTAGTGGATGATTTTTTCCGCGTGGGTTTGGAGAGGTTTGGGCCGGGGAAATACAACGCGGGGCTTAACCGAACGAGAAAAACTGGATGGGCCGGGTTTATTCCCCGGCGGGGGTAATCCCTGCAGACCCGCGTGGATTGGACCCAAAACCTCGCCGGGCTGGGCGTAACCGAACAAGGCGGTAGGCAGCTAGCGGGTTAGTGGGTTCTGCCCACAATCGATACCCAGGGCACCCGGTTGCCTCGCTGCTACGTTGGGGGGACATGTGGAGGCTAATGAAATAGGTGGTAACTACCACTGCTTGTAGATAAAATTTGTCCTATATATATATATATCCGGATCTCTCCAACACATAGTGCTTGTAAAAGAAAAACTGTAAAAAAGGAAAGGTGATGATCACCATGACTCTTGTATAAGGGTAGAAGATAAAAGTAAAAGATAGGCCCTTCGAAGAGGGAAGCAGAGATTATCATGCGCTTTTATGATTGGATGCACAAAATCTTAATGCAAAAGAACGTCACTTTATATTGCCGCTTGTGATAAAGACCCTTATTATGCAGTCTGTCGGTTTTATTTCTTCGATATCACAAGTTCGTATAAAGCTTATTTTCTTCACACTAATAGATCATAAATATTTAGAGAGCAATTTTTATTGCTTGCACCGATGACAACTTACTTGAAGGATCTTACTCAATCCATAGGTAGGTATGGTGGAGTCTCATGGCAAAACTGGTTTAAGAGATGTTTTGAAGCACAAGTATGTTGGAAATATGCCCTGGAGGCAATAATAAAATGGTTATTATTATATTTCCTTGTTCATGATAATTGTTTGTTGTTCATGCTATAATTGTATTAACCGGAAACCATAATCACTACCAAAAAAGACACATCCCTGACATTTTGGGCCGAACAAATTTTTTTTCTGTCATACATATGACACTTCTATGACGATAATTGTGACAAAACCTGGTATCATCATAGATGTGGTGGGCTCCTACTTCTATGACAAAAAATCATGACAGAAAATGGGCTTTTCGTCCTGGGCGGGCTGGAGACGCAGCTGCATGACATTCTTTGGGCCGTCCATGACGGAAAAAACCATGGTAGAAGCGAGGGGGGGGGGATTTCGGGGAGTTCCCGGTTACGGTGGGAGGTCGGGGGCCGAGCGATGCGCGTTTCTCTCATACACATACGCGCATGTGTGCGAGGCGTTGGCTCTAACTGAACCCGAGCAAGGCGTTGGGCTCTAACTGAACCCGAGCGATTGCACTGCAGGCTACGCGTTACTGAACCCGAACGATCGATCGATGGCTGTTAACTAAACCCGATCGAGCGATTCCTTCGCTACTGCTGCTAACTGAAGCCGATCGATGCTGCCTCTGGGATGAACAGTGAGTGTTGCGGCGGGGTTTGGATGAATAGTGAGCGGTTGCATTGCCTCTGGATGAACAGGACCCCGTGGTGTGGTGGAGGGCTGGATGAACAGTAGACGGTGGAGGGGTGCCCGTGGAGGGGTGGTTGAACATGACCCCGTGGTGTGGAGGGCTGGGTGAACAGTAGACGGTGAAGGGGTGCCCATGGAGGGGTGGTTGAACAGTAGCCGGTGGAGTAGCGCACGGTGGAGGCTGGATGAACAGGAGCCCGTGGAGGCTGGAGGAGGTCGACGGTAGCCCATGGAGGCTGGAGGAGGTCGACGGTGGAGATGAGCAGTATCCCGTGGAGTCCCGTTTTGCAGTACGCCACACCCCTCCCGATGAATAGGACCCCTGTTTCGACCGTAGCACTCCAACACAAGTCCGTTTCGTCCATTTTGTGGTATGCCACACCCCTCCCGATCAACAGGACCCCCGTTTCGATCATAGGAGGTCCGTTTCGTCCGTTTTGCGGTACGCCACACCCCTCCCGATCAACAGGACCCCCGTTTCGATCGTAGGAGGTCCGTCTCGTCCGTTTTGCGGTACGCCACACCCCTCCCGATCAACAGGACCCCCGTTTCGACCGTAGGAGGTCCGTTTCCTCCGTTTTATGGTACGCCAGACCCCTTCCGATCAACAGGACCCCGTTCCAACCGTAGGAGGTCCGTTTCCTCCGTTGTGCGGTACGCCAAGCCTCGTTTCCATCGCGTGTTTCGTCCAAGCCCTCCCGATGAACACGACCACACATTCCGTTCCGACCCAGCCGGTTGGCTCCCACGCGTTCCCTTGCCTCCTGATGAACACGGCGCATTCCGTTGCCTCCCCATGAACACGACGCATTCCATTGCCTCCCCATGAACACGACGATGACGTTGTTTCTCCGTTCCGACCCAGCCATGTACACGAGCCCTGGCCGTACGTATGCGCGAGTAGGCGTTCGAGACCCCGCCCGTATGTACACATACGTGGCCGTATTTTCTTTCTTGCACCCTGGCCGCTGTACGTACGTCTACATGCTACGTGCGCGCCTCTTCTACGACACATACGCGCCTCTACTACGACACGTGCGTGCTTCTACATCCACCAGTATATATGTACGTACACGTTCGCGACCAGAATGACAACGTTACGTACGCTTCGACCAGGTGAGTCCCGACTGTCAGGCACTTCCTTGCCTGTGAAGATGTAGCTGGTGGGTCCCAGCAGTCAGGGCGGCGAATCGTTTTTATTGCCCGGACGCACTTCCTTGCGTGCGAAGATGTAGCTGCACTACAAAAAAAGACACATCCGTGACATTTTGGGCCGAACGAATTTTTTTCCTGTCATATATATGACACTTCTATGATGATAATTGTGACAAAACCCGGTATAATCATAGATGTGGTGGGCTCCTACTTCTATGACAAAAAATCATGACAGAAAATGGGCTTTTCGTCTTGGGCGGGCCGGAGACGCAGCTGCATGACATTCTTTGGGCCGTCCATGACGGAAAAAACCATGGTAGAAGTGAGGGGGAGGAAAATTTCGGGGAGTTCCCGGTTACGGTGGGAGGTCGGGGGCCGAGCGATGCACGTTTCTCTCGTACACGTACGCGCGTGTGTGTGAGGCGTTGGCTCTAACTGAACCCGAGCGAGGCGTTGGGCTCTAACTGAACCTGAGCGATTGCACTGCAGGCTACACGTTACTGAACCCGAGCGATCGATCGATGGCTGTTAACCGAACCCGATCGAGCGATTCCTTCGCTACTGCTGCTAACTGAAGTCGG